CCCCAAAACCCCAAAACCCCAAAACCCCAAAACCCCAAAACCCCTTTATTTACACGTAATATTGAATATTAATAATATTTTTTGATTCGTGAATAATTCATTTAAAATGGCCTCTGTGACAGTCAATAATATGTGAGTGGAAATTCTAGATATTTCTTCAAATTTCACCCCTAGAGACTTACTTAGGAGGAGTCTCGGGACCCTATGAGTATGGGTAGAGATAGTTTGGCGAAAAATCGTGTTTTTCGAGAGTTTGATCAATTACTTAGATAAATAATATTATTAATAGTATGATAAAGATGGACCAAGAATGTAGTATTAACCCTTGTTATAGGAAGGTGAGGGACCATTCCCCTGCCAACCAGAACACAAATGCTGGATTATCTGATGATTCATTAATATCCTCAGATAAGGATAGCGATTTTGACTTCTTTCTGAACTCTCCAGCCCCAGTGCAAGAAAGTAAACCTGTGGTGGTAGGAAAAAATTGTGGGGTGAAATCAACGTGTTTTGACTCATGTAAATATTCCTTATACGAACAAGTGCTTTGGAGTGCCCAAGTTCCAGCGAAGAAGGATTTCTGCGATTATGATAAAAATCTTATTGGCTCCCCTCGAATGAAAAGAAAGATTGCCCTTGGAGCGCTAAAGGAGCAGAGAAAGGAAAAATGCATCATTGATAGGTCAGCCTTAGGAGAAAAAATGAAGAAGATGTCTAAGATGGTCTCAACTCTTTTGTTTTATCGCATCTGATATTCCCATGCGAATGTAGAGAAGCCAACAGAGAAGGCTTTAATGTTTAATGAAGGAATGTTTTTACCATCAAAAAGGATCATAAGAACGACATGAGATTATCCGATGACAACGACATTCCCAATTTTTCAATTTACAGTTGCAACCACTGAACTTTCGGAAGTATGCAACGACCCTCAAAATTCGCATGATGTGGATCAGAATTGTTTCACAAGGATGAACAAGAGATTTCACCCAAGAAACATAGATACAAAAGTGAAATCTAAATACCGATATTTAAAGAAAGAAATTAAAGATTTCATAAGTGAGATTTTCAGTGAATTAAGTCTAGATTCAGAGTGAATCCTGACCTCTCTGATCTACTTAGAACGTCTCATCTCGAAAGCTAAACTTGAACTGCGTGCTAGTAATTGGAAACCTTTGATCCTAACCAGCATAATCCTGTCTTCTAAATATTGGGAGGATTGTTGCTTCTGGAATTATGATTTCTTAGAATTCTGTAAGTACTCTATCCCAGGACTAAACCTGATGGAGACTAGGTTCATCACGATGATAGACTTTGACTTCACCATATCCTCTTCCTTATATGGCAAATACTACAATAAAGTGACTAAGATGTACATAGAGTTCACTAAATTCGAGGATATGGAAAGGAAAAGAGCTAGCTACCGTAAATATGGCTTTGTCAAAAAAAGCTAACTTAGCCACCTCTGGTAAATTTAATTGGTTACTTATCCAATCTTAAATATTATATTTGGGGTTTTGGGGTTTTGGGGTTTTGGGGTTTTGGGGTTTTGGGG